TTTCAACATTCACCCATATTATCAAGTCCTCACCCCCTCCCCTTGCGGTCACTGTCTATCAGTGTAGTAAGCTGCTAGAGAGGCCATTACTTGGAGGGTGACTTACTTTCCATTGTGCACCCTTTCTGTTTGAGAGGTACTAGAGCATGGGGGTTACTTAATGAACACAGACTTGGGTGCCCATTGCCAGGGTTCAAACCCTGGCTCTGCCATTTACTAGCTGGTGATCTTGGGCAATTTACTTAACCATACTGGGCATCAATTTCTCATAATTTGGATTAGTAGATGTCAATATTTGTAATGTACCTAAAATAACATCTGGGATATAGTAGGCACCACATGAATGTTTGCTTATTAATTGCCATTTATATGCATTCTGCTTTTATTTAGGAAACCGGTCATTAAATATAAAGGCTTTGGGATTGCAAAGGAAAACAGACATGTGGCCAGTTTGTGGCAGGGGTTGATTGTGAGGAGCTTGGTGCTTGCTGTCCAGGACTGATTCTCGCCTCCACAGGGAAGTCTAGAAGGACAGCACCTAGCTCAGAATTGGGGGTGCTGGTAGGGAGTGGCTCTTTCCCTCCCTGCTTACAGGGGACATCTGGTAAGGCTGGCTCCAGGACCCAGGAAGCCCAGCAGAGGCCCTGGCCTCTAGGCTGTGTGAGCCCCCACTGTGAGGCCAGGGGAAACCGAGGTCCCTGCTACCAGCATTTGGGACTCTGCTGCTATCTCTGGCCATCTGCCTCTCTGCATCCCTTTACTTCCCTTACACCCATGTGTCCAGGCCAGGTGTCAGCCAGCCAACCCCGTGCACAGGATAAAGAGAGACAGAGAGTGAATGGCCTTCAGTGGGGTCACAGTCGGGGCTGCTGATAATGTGGACTAGAGGGAGCCCACCATTACTGGGCAGCCAGGAGGAAGTGTCTGACCACGTCTATGACAATTCTGACCTGATCCAACTTCTGGAACACAGGGGTCTGAGCATGATCCTGTCTCTGGGGCTGCAGTTTACCTGTAAACCATGGAGGATGAGGGGGGTGTCAATCCACACTCACTGGGCTCCTGAGGGTCCTTGGCATTGGGCAAAAAGGAGGTCTGTGGCGGCAGGGGCTTCTGAGAGGGAGGAGTTATAGTTCCGCCACTGCTGGTTTCTCTGGGTTAATGATTTATGGGGGTGGGGGCTGGGGCCGCCCTGTGCTCCCGGGGCTGCCGGGGAAGGGGTGAGGAAGCTGGCGGGCTGGAGTGCCCAGGCTGTGAGCCTGTAATCCTCTCTATTGATGAACCTCAGCCTTGAAGGCCAACTAATTAGATTTTTGGACTTGTTTTCCCAGGTGAGCGGCTGGGACAGTGCTGATCTGAGCTGGGCCCTGTCTGATGGCTTCCTCCAACCCTCCTGCACAGGCGGCCAGAGGTACCGTACCCCAGGCTTCTTGCCATGTCTCGTGTCTCCTCTGCCCAGGGCCAGGGGAGGTGGGGGTGGGTCCAGCAGAGAGCTTCTAGCTTTGGAGCGGACTGACCCTGGCTGTGAGTCCCGCTCTGCTGGCAGTTAGCTGCATGCCCTTGGCAAGTGACTTCACCCCCTGCCTCAGTTTCCTTTGTCTACAACACGGAAAATTTCCTCCTCCCAGGGTAGGCTCCAGACAGGGAGTGATTCCTTACCCGTCTCCCTGATGTCCCCTGGAGACTGAGGTGTGCTTTGGGGTGAAGCTTGTGAGTCATAGCAGGGGGGAACCTGAGGGTCTGAGGGTTGAGGGTTTGAGGGTTGCCAGAGTTAGCCAAAAAAAAAGAAAGAAAAATGCATACTTAGGCTAAAAAATTATTTGTTGCTTCCCTGGAATTCAGTCTGACGTCCTGTATTTTATCTGGCAACCATAGCAGGAGGTGGGGCCTCAGATCTAGGCCCCGCCCAGGAGCTGGACGCAAGGCCCTTTCACCCACTGGGCCCCGTGTCCTGTCCTCTTGTCCATCTTTGGAGGAGGCAGATAGCAGAATGGTCGTGAGCAAGGGCTGTTTGTCATCGCGGCTCTGCCACTGACGCTGTGGGCTTGGTTGAGTGACTTGGTGTCTCTGTGGCCCAGTTTCATCACCCATAATGCCATGGGGATAATAACAACACCCTCTCCTATGTTGTTGTAAGGTTTAAATATATGCAAGACCCTGGTGTGTGGTAATTAATCACTCAGTGAATGGGAGTGTTATCGCCATGGGGTATTAGCAGGACACGGCTGTGTGTGCTCTGCTCTGAGCCTGGCACAGCCCGAGGAGGAGCCCCTTCCTGAGCCTTTGAGGCCCTTCTCTGAAGGCTAGGAGACCTTCTCCATGGGGCGGGCTGGCTTTGCAGGGTCCTGCATCCTGGACTCCCTGGGGTGGCTCTCCTGAGGATGGGGTGTGCCCAGCAACAGCAAAGGCCTGTGTGGCTGGCTTTAATCTTGCCACCTGTCCAGCTGGGTGGGAAGGGCTCAGTTCCGATCTCTATTATCCAGGGTGGGGCCTCCCTATTTTCCTTCTGATAAGGAGTCCTGTCTGATCGCCTGGGTCTCAGGAGCCTGGGAACAGAGCCTCAGGGACAAGGGCATCTCCAGATTCATGCCCGTGACTTGGGTCCCAGGCTCCTGCTCTCCTGGGCATCCAGCACCCTTTCTCCTACCCACCAGGGAGGCCAGACACGTAGAGTAAGGACAAAATTGTTTGGTGATGAAATCATTTCAGCTCCATTCAATATTTGACAATCATGTATTGTTTCAGCTGTATGTGATAGTGCTGGCTGGTGTCATGTGGTCGGCCTAGGCTCCTCCCCACTTCTGCATCTTTGAGAGCCTCCCCTTGTCTTACCAGGTCAAATCCAGATTCCCCCAGGCTCCTCATAGCCCCTGCAGTCCTTGCTCAAACTTCAGCTCTCCTGAGTCCCATGCTGTTTGTTCTCTGTTCCTGCTGTGGCCTCAGTTGGAACACCTCCCAAACCTGAACCTGTCAGACCTTTGCTCATCCTTCAAGGCTCTGTGCAGGGGCGGCCTTGTGCCTGAAGCCATGCCCCATGCCCCAGTTAGTGCGAGCCTCCTCCCTGTCGGTACCAGCTCAGTCTCTGGTGGTTTATATTTTTTCTTGCTGTGTCTGCCTGCCTTGTCTCTCAGTGAGCAACTGGACACAGCTGAAGCCTCCTGGCCCAGGGGCTGCCGGGAACAGTTCTTTGGGTGTGGGATCAGCTGTATTGATTGACTGATGGGCTGACTGAAGTCATGTATACTCTTAAAGGGCGAAGGTGCAGAAGTGACCCCAATCCCTGGACACAGCCTGTGAATGGGGAAGTCCTGCCCATTCACCAGGTCAGGGGCTGGGCTATGATTCAAGACAGTAATAATAATAATAATAATGCTTATCATGATAATGATGATGCAATGACGATGACAAAAGCAAGTCATCATCGTAAGAGTAGCTGACATTTAGTGAGCATGTACAGTGCCCCGGGAGCTTTATGTGCTAATTCTGTCCACCCTCCCACAGCCCTGTAAGGCAGTTACTAGCATTGCCCTCTTTGCAGGTCAGAAAACTGCAGCTCGGAGGGGTACAGTGACCTGACACTCATGCAACCAGGTTATGGCAGAGCTGGAGCCTGAGCCCACATGGTCTGACCGTGAAACCATAGTCACTGTAATGATAATGGCCACGTGGAAAGGGAGGCCTTGCCCCACCGCCTGCCCAGCAGATTCAAGTGGCCAGGGACCAAGGGCACTTCAGTGGCAGGGTGGGTCTATATCCAGAAGCCCAATAGTAGTACGCAGGGGCTTTGTGGTCACTTATCCTAGTACTTTTTAAACTTTTAAAATGACGACCCGTAGACATGACAGCAGGAGTGAACGCGTGTGTGTGCATTCAACAAGTACTTATTACATGCCTGCGGTGCGCTGGGCCCTGCATCAGATGCTGGGCATACAAGAGTGAGTGAAACAGAGAATACCTGCCCTCATGAAGCTTATGTTCTAGTAGAGGAGCCAGACAGTAAGATTAATAAAACCTATAGCATATCACATGTTGATAAGGGCCACAGAGAAAAATAAAGCAGGCAAGGCGCATGGGGTGGCGGGGAGGGGGGCGCCCACGACATCTCCATGGGCAGTTTTTGTCGTGGCAGCAGCCTTCCTGAGAGACGACGTAGAGTAAAGACCTGAAGGAGGTGAGAGCAGGGGAAGATACCTGGGGGAAGAACATTCTGGACTCCCAGATTGAAGGTGCAAAGGACCCGAGGCAGGGGCAATCTGGCATGTTCTCCCGTGAGCAAGGACGCTGGTGTGGTAGAAGGGAGTGAACCAGGGGAGGGCACTGAGCCAGAGGAGGGCAGTGTTAGTAACCCTTAAGGGGTTGCTAGGAGGGTGGACGGAGTTAACGCATATAAAGCTCATGAGGTGCCGTCTGTGCTCACTGAGCGTTAACTACTCTTAGGATGATGATCTGCTTACGTCGCTGTCTTCTGCACATACATTGTAGATGGATCACTGCAACAGAAGCATCAAAAACAGTATCAAAATAACACCAAATGTGATTGTATTAATATTGTAATAAGACATTTAAAAGTATCTTAAATAAGCAATTCATAAGCAAAGCCAAATACTGCCTGGGAATCCCGTAAGTGGTTTTATGACCCACCAGTGGGTTGAGAACTGTAATTTGAAAACGTCTAATCTGGCTTCCTACTCATCCCCCTGGATTTCCTTTCTTTAGTTCATCATCACAGGCCCAAGTGTCCAAGGGCTCAAGCAACTTCCAGGAGGCAGCCGGGCTTAGTGGACAGTATAGAATGGGAACAAAGACAGATCTGGGCGCACACCAGGCTCCTTGCTTATGAGCTGTGCGACAATGGGCGCATCACTTTACTTCTTGAAATCCCTCTGGCCATGTCCTGTAAGGTGGGGGCCCTGAGGCTGCACCGAGGAGCCATACCGGCACATTCCTGGGTCTCTGTGAGGGTTTCTTTCTCCACACCTGGGGAAGGAGCTGGTGCCATAGGCCACATCGTTGCCCGGTGGAGTCCTCCCCTGCTGATGTTGGTCCGTGGGGTTCCCAGGCTCCCAGAAGAGGCTGGGTCCTCACCTCAATGGCTTCCATCTGCTCGTCATCCCCAGAGGAAGTTGGAAGGCAGGGTGAGCTCTGGGCTTCTGCTGAAGTTGAGCAGCTGAGGAAGGGGCTTCTTGGATTTGATACTTTTTGTGCAATGTTCTGCTCTGGAATGCCCCCTCGTCCCCCCACCCAGGTCACTGTTGGGGAGGGACTGGATTTTCTGATCAGAGAGGCCATGAGAATTGGATATGTCCCTGTGTCTCTCTGCTCCGTCCACGCCCCCCTGCCCCCATTTACTCATTGCTGCATCTAAGAGTACCTGCTGGGACTGGGTCCATAAACAGGGACTGGCCAGTCCTGACCTCACCCATCTCAGGCTATTGTATGGTCGTGCACATGTCCAGGCACTATGCCAAATGCCAAATCTTCCCCACTGGTTCTCAACGGGGGTGGTTTTGTCCCCCAGGGGACTTTGGCAATGTCTGGAGAGTTTCTTGGTTATCACAGTTCCCAACTGATCTGGCTACGGCTCCACCGATTCCCACCCCTCTGGCCGGCTCCCCTTTTTTCCAAGCACCAAAGCAAAGGAACTGGGCTCACTTACTGTGTCTGGGGCAGCGCGGCTGCTGGGTCTGGGTCTGTGGGAGGAGAGCAGAGGGAGCCATCAGGCCAGCCCGCCCCCTTTCTCATCCTCCCCGGGGGTGCCAGAGACTAGGCCTGGCCAACATGGGTGCCTGCTGGGTTCCTGTCTCCCTTCCTCCAGCCCCTGCACGGTCATTAAGCTCCCTGCCCTGCCCTGCCCAGCCTTTCCTGATCTTCAAAGAGGGCAATGCTAGTAACTGCCTTCCAGGGCTTCTGGGAGGTTGTACCAGTGTTGCTGATGGGTAGAGGACAGGAATGCTGAGCAACACATCCTACGGTGCCAGCGAAGACCATGTGGCCCCTATGCCAACAGTGGTGAGACCGAGAAACCTGGACCTACATCTCAGTTAGCATCAGGTCCAGTTTACAGAGGAAGAAACCACGGTTCAGAGAGGGGAAGTTACTTGCCTGGAACCACACAGCGGGGAGGGGGCCCAGAGAAGACTGACTGAGCCCAAAGCTCATGCTGTAAATTGTGGCATGAGTTGGGACAGGAGGAGGGGATGCTCTCTGCAGACTTGTAAGACCAGACCACACTGCCGTTTGGTTTGGGGTGGGCTTGCATGAGGAAGGGGGATGGGCTTAGCGAACTCCTGAGGTCCTGTCCAACTCCAGCTTCTAGGAGAGAAGTCTTCTAGGGGAGAAGACTGGGGGACCCCAGCTTGGTGAAGTCGTGGAAAGCTGATGGCTTGTTAAGTTCTTTAGGAGTAGGAGAGAGACTCCATTTCTTCACTTGTTTAATGAAAGCTGCAGAGTTCTAACCGGGACCAGTGCAGGATCTGTTCCCTTAAAGGGGAGGTAAAAGGGCCTGCCCTGTGGGGTCTGAGATTTGTAGGGCAGCACAGTTGAGCAGAAAACGTCACATTATTATAGGCTATACATTAATGGATGAAGAAAAGGGGTAAGACAGAGAAGGGGGGCAAGACCTCCTTTAGTTAGGGCTGTTAGGGGGCCCCACTGCCTGAGCTCTGAAGGATGGCAGGAGATGTGGCCATGAAGGGGATCTCGTAGGAAGGAGAAGCAGGGCGTGAGGCCCCTTTGCACAGACCTCTGTGCTGGGAGTGCAGGCCCCTAGCCCTGTCCCAGCCAGTCTGTGCCCTGCTGCCTGAAAGCCGCTTCCTTCAGGCTCCAGATACTCTCACGAGCTGTGATGTGCTGCCATGCATACCAAACAAAGTGCAGCAGCACTCAGAAGAAGCCTGTATGTGCTCATTCGCATGCAAAAAACACAGACATATACGCACACACAGAAAGGCCCCCAAAGGTGTGTGCCCACATGCACACGTGCAGATGCATTTAAAAAGGCCCCTTGCTCAGAAAATAGGAAAATAGAACACAGGAAGATGAAAAACTTACGTTCAAGTGCAGATGCACACCCGCTTACTGTGGAAGCTTGCTGCCTCCCCTCCGTGCACTGCTCATGTGCTTTGACCCCTAATCCAACCACAGGACACCTCGGAGCATGGAGGGCCAGCTGGTCTGTACGTGGGTTTACTCTAGTCTCTGGGAACTGCCCTGGTGCCTTCACTCAGACCCACAGTTGCTCACCCCTTGCAGCCATCTCCCTTGACCAAACCCTGAGACCCTGTAGCTGGCTAACTCCTCCCTTCTAGGAGATCAGCTGGTTCCTGGAGGCCCAGGCCCCTCCCCTGAGGCGGAGGACGACCCTGGAGAGGCCTTTGAGTTTGACGACAGTGATGATGAGGAGGACACCAGCGCTGGCCTGGGTGTCCCAGGCATTGCTCCAGGGAAGGATGTGGATGCCCCACTGATCTACTTGGACTCCGCCCCCAACACTGGTAAGGTGTTTCTGGGAGCCTTGGGTCCTCCCATTTCTGGGCCTCTGGGGTTACAGAGAGCTTAAAGCTGGGTGGGAGCTGCCAGTGATGCCTCACAGCCCCTCCGCTGTCCCCAGAAAGCAGGATGGGAAAGACCACTGGGAAGAAGCTGCATTCCATTGCTTCCCTTAGGAACTGGAGATTCCTAGCATTCCTGCAGCATCTGGTGCACTTTGACACATTGTAAATGGAAATGGTTGGTGCTGGTTGCGTTTTGGACACAGTTACTGCCCAGGGCGTGTATCTCTGAAGCACCCCGTCCCCTGCAGCTTCTCCCAGGGAATCACACCAGCCAGATGAGTCACCTCCCTCTCTGGCTCCCCAGTCCATTCGGCCATGGGGAGCTGGTGGCTCCGGGGGCGGGAAGGGCCCTGATAAGCTTGGTGTTAAATGGCAGCTTCTGGGCTCTTGTACTCTGTCATCTGGGAGGGACAGGAGACCGGACTAGCAGGAACTTCCTGTGGGCTTGGGGACAAGGGGCTCCTTGAGGAGCTGGGGGTGGGAGGCAGGCCCAGAGCAGGCAGGGCAGCTGGTTCCAGTTGGCGTTGGGATGTGGGCCATGGGAGTGGGGGTGATACAGGTAGGGCAGGGCAGGGAGCTTAATGACCGTGCAGGGGCTGGACGAAGGGAGACAGGAACCCAGCAGGCACCCCACGTTGGCCAGGCCTAGTCTCTGGCACCCCCGGGGAGGCTGGGAAAGGGGGCGGGCTGGCCTGATGGCTCCCTCTGCTCTCCTCCCACAGACCCAGACCCAGACCCAGCAGCCGCGCAGCCCCAGACACAGTAAGTGAGCCCAGTTCCTTTGCTTTGGTGCTTGGAAAAAAGGGGAGCCGGCCAGAGGGGTGGGAATCGGTGGAGCCGTGGCCAGGGGGGCTCAGGACAGGACTTTGGCCCAGGAGGAAGGCCTTTCAAGATCCCTGGGCTCAAAGAAGAAGAGGTCAGTCCCGGAAACTCACGTTACTTCTTCCTTTATTTTGCCCACAACCTGAGAAGAAGCAGAAAATAGGCGTGGCTCTGCCCTTCGCTGGCCTTGTGGCTGGAAGGAGTCACATTAACTCCCCCAATGTCAGTCTGTTCATGAGCCGAGGGGGAACAGTGTGCCCACCCAGGGGTTTGGCTCTCGGGTTCCAGTGCACTGTCTACCCACCATACTGTGTTTGCCATTGCTGTTTCTTGGCTAGTTCCATTCCCATCCCCTTACTGGGACCTTCTGGGGACACTGTCCTCTACCTGGGGGGCTGTCTGAGGCAGGGCAGCCTAATGTCCAAAGGCCTGGATATGGAGTGTTGGCCTGCCTTTTACTCTGGCCCCAACACTGGCCATGGGTCCTTGTGTAAGTCGCAGTCTTCTGGGCTTTGGGTTCTCTTCTGTAAAACGGGCCCCTGCTTCCTCCCTGCAAGGACTGTTGAGTAAGCCTCCTAGTGCTGAAGCAGGCACCTAATCCAGGTGTTTATTTTCGCCACTGTTCCCTCTGTGGTCTTCTGGCAAGTCAGTTCGGGGTTGGACTGTGCATTTGGGGGTTGGGGGCCCTGAAAGCTGAGGCCTCTGGGAGCTTTGCCCACTGCTGCTCACTGTCCGGCTTTGGGAACGTGGGTGCTGAGAGAGTCCCCTTCTGAGGGCAGCATTAGTGGTGCATGTGAGCCCTGGGGCTTACGGCCAGGGGCACTGGGGACCCTGAGTCTAGGTACTGGCCACTTTGGTCCGGGGACGGTTGTTTTAGTTGCCCTTTGTATTTCTGGTGTGAGCTGAGTCAGGGGGCTAATCCTCATGTGTCATCCACCCTGCTGCAGGTCTCCGAGATGCAGATTGCAGCCCTGGGCCCCTGGAGCCTGGGTGGGTCTGGATTCATATCCAGCCCTGGAGTCCTTGCATGTGCTCATTTGCCCTATGGAGTGGGTGGACCCTAGGAAGGTTTCTGCTGGGCCTGCCATTGTGTAATTAAGGCCTGAAATAGAGGCCAACCTCCCTGCCCTGATTAGGGACCTGTAATGAATCACCAGTCCTTCTGAGATGGCTGTGACCTCCTGGGAATTACAGCCCTCCTGGGTGGGCCAGGCATGAAGCTCCCCAGAAACCCAGTCTGCTGGGGGATAGAGACACATCAAAATGGGACAGAGAAGGATGCCCATGGGACTGGAGGGGACCAGTGGGGTTTTTGGCTGAGCAAGGGGGTTTAAATTCCCTGCAGGGGAGAAGAGAAGGTTTGGAAGGAGTGCCAACACCGAGGAAGCCACTCCGCAAAGGCACGGGGTGGGAAACCGTGTGGCCAGTGAACAAGTGCACCCCCTCTCGGGGTTCGGCGCTCCTGGTTCTCTTGGGCACACTCTCCTGGGGAGCTCCGTTCCACAGCCCCGGGGTCAGGAGTATGGCAGCCTAGCCCATCCCTGCCCACCTTCTCCCTCTTTGTCCTAGGGGCCCCATGACTGCAGCTAGATTGTGTTTGGCTGGTACCAAGTGCCATTCTGGTCTGTGACCCAGTGGCCTCCAGAGCTGGTGCTGTACGGCATAGTGTTCAGCAGCCCACTGTTCAGGATAGCTCAGGGTGGGCCAGGTGTTCTGGGGAGAGGGGCCCAGCCTCTGCCTTTAACTCACTGCAACACCGTCACCTGTCTAGCTCATCCTGGAGAGACCCCAGCCCCTTGAACACTGTCTCCTGGGGGCACCAGGGTGTGAGTTCTGCAGGCTCAAATCCCTCAGTCCTCACTAGCTGGGTGACTTTGGGCTGCCTGTGAACCTCTCGGAGCCCTGGTTTTCCCGTGTATAAGATAGAGATAATGTCCACCAGGACGGTTCGTGAGGAATAATAGGTGGGACTGGTCATGGGAGGCACTAAGTACGCCCATCATGCCTGCTTCTGCTCCTGCCTCCTGCCTGGCTGGACGTCCCCAGGGCAGTGAGGCTGGAGGGGCAGAGACTGTGTGCCCTGTGCCTCGGACTTCTGGGCCGTCCTGGATTGCGGGGTCTGTGTCTCACCGGCAGCCTGCGTGAATAAGCACCACTTGCGAGTTCACTGAATGGGGCAGACACAGGACATGAGCCCCTGCAGAGCATTATCAGGGCAGGAGTCTGCGGAGACCGCTATTTCAGCCCCTTCATTTTACAGGTGGACGGTGAGGGCGGGGCTGCCTGAGGTCACACAGTGAGATGCTGGCAGCCCTCGGATTCCCTGTCCAGCACTCTCTCTGTGGTGCTCTGGCTCCATCCCTGCCCTCTAGGTCTCTGTGTATTTGTTCCAGCTCCATCTCTGGGTGGTGATTTTCCACTCTGGAGACCTCTGGGAGAAGAACCATCCAGATCACTTTACTTCTTGTTATCCAAGAGACAGGAAAAAAACCTTGGTTTTCTTTTTTTTAATAAACTTCCCTAAAGGTAGTCACTAAGCGAACGTTGCATTGAAAAAGCACATTTCCAAGTGAGGACATTTCACCTCTTCGCACTGCATTTCTCCCAGTTGACCCTGCCTGGAGGTTTGGAATTGGCCTTGGGCTTTGCCTGGCTGCCTACCTGGCCTCCGGAGAAGCAGGAGCTGCCTGACCTGAGGTTCCTGACAGTGTAGCTGGAGTAACAGCCCACATCTGGGCAGAGCTGCAGCCTTACAGTGACCTCGGGTCCATCAGAGCCCTTGTCCGCAGCCAGGGAGGGACGGATGCGAGTTCAGTCCTAATCCCCACTTCCTGGCTGGTGAGCTGTCCCAGGCAGCAGCCGATGGGTAAATTGAGGGGTGGAGTCTGGGTCTGTGGGTATCCGGAATCTCAGGCTCTGAGCCACATGGAGTTGGCTTCCAGTCTTGCTCTGCTACTCTCTAGCTATGGGCAAGTGGCTTCCTGTCCCAAGCCTCACTTTCCTAGCTAGTAAAATGGGAAAATAAATCCACATTCTAGCAGGGCTTTGTGAGGCATACGTAAGTTAACATCCAGTGCTCAGTCTGGCTGGCATGTGCTGGCTGCTCCACATGTATATGCGGTTGCTTTTCTGGGCCCTGGTTTAGATCTGGTTTTAGGGAGAGCTGGTTGGGCTCTGTACCCTGGGAGTCAGATGGACCTGGATTTAATCTGCCTCTTACCGGCCACTACCCCACCTGCACAGGGAGCAAAATCACACCTGCTGGGTGGGCTGTTATGAGGGCGACTGAGGCTGACTGCAGTCCAGATACCTTGGCAGAGGTGTTGGGTCTGTCTCTGGCTTTGAGGCCTGTGGTTTTCTAGTCCTTTCACCTGCTTGGCCAGTGAGGAGGTATCCAGGCTGCTGTGGGATAAAGAGAGCTGCTGGCATTGCTGGGTGGGTGTCATACTGAAGCCCCTGGGGTGGTTTGAGATTTGGGGTCATGCTGCTTAACAGTCCCAAGGAGTGAGGATGGCTGGGGTCTCCTCTGTCCTACTGCTGGGCAAATCAGCCTTCTCAGTGCTCAGCTAACTGCTAGCACATTCTCTTTCCTCAACAGGACACCCCAATTATCAGACAATGATAATATGATAATAGCAGCAAACAATGGTAATAATAACGTTAGCAATAATAACGATCATGTTTACTGTGTGCAGGCACTGAGCTAAACGCCCAGCCTCAGTTACTCCTATCTCCAGGAAGCAGATGCTGTCAGTACCCAGGTCATGGGTGGGGAGATTGAGGCTCAGGGAGTTGGGTGGCTAGGGTTACATATAGATAGTACATGCTCCTTCAGAATAGAGACTAGAACCAGGGCCTCGCTGACTGGGGGCCAGGTGTGTGACCACTATGCTACCTCCAGGGATGCACTGGGGACTCCATGT